CCCCCCCCCGCCCCCCCCCGCCCGGGGCGCCCCCCCCCCCAGCCCCCCCCCCGTCCCCTGTCCCCCGCCCTGCCACATCACCAGGACCCCTCTCCCTGACACATCCCTCGGGTACCCACTAACGCCCCGTCTGCTCCAACCGCAGCCAGGGACCACGTCCCACCTCCCACCATGGAGCTGAACCAGACCGCCCCACCTCCCACATCACCCCTGCCAGAGACCGATGGAGACGAGACGTGCAGGATGGAGGTCACCGGCATGGCCATAGATGGTGTGACGCTGCTCATCTGCCTCTGCGGGCTGCTGGGGAACGGGGCCGTCCTCTGGCTCCTCGGCGTCTGCATCCGCAGGAACCCCATCACCGTCTACATCCTCAACCTGGCCGTCACCGACTTCATCTTCCTCCTCCTCATGGGAACCTCCTCCCTCCTCTGCATGATAGAGAATGCCTCTTGCTCCACTGTTCTGTCTCTGCAGTTCCTGAAGTCGCTTTTCCTGCTCTCACTCTTCTCCTACAACATGGGCCTGTACCTCCTGACGACCATCAGCATCGAGAGGTGCGTGTCCATCCTCTGTCCACTCTGGTACCGCTGCCACCGCTCCCGGCACTTGTCGGCTGTGGTGTGTGTCCTGCTCTGGGCCCTCTCCATCGCTGTCATTGCCACAGTGACTTCACTGTGCCTGTTGCACGAGCATGAGCACTGCCAGATTGCTCTCATCGTCATGTACGTCCTCAACTTCCTTATTTTTGCCCCACCCATGGTCATTTCCAATGTGATCCTGTTCATTAAGGTCCTGTGTGGCTCCCAGAAGCGCCAACCCAAGAGGCTCTACATCGTTATCCTCCTCACCGTCCTCTTCTTTCTCATCTTTGTGGTTCCCCTCAGCATCTGGAATTTCCTGCAGCAGTTTGGCTACTCCATCATGTCCTACCAGGTTGCTTTCCTGCTTGCCTGCATCAACAGCAGCATCAACCCCTTCATCTACTTCTTGGTGGGGAGCTGCAGGAGGCACTGCTCCTTGGTGTCCCTCCAGGTCGCCTTTCGGAGGGTCTTCGAAGAGACGGGGGTCACCACAATCTCCAGCTGAGGCCACTGTGGTCACACTGGCCATGCTGCTCACCCCAGCTTCATGCTCAGCTGCCCACCCTTGCTCCCAGTTGGGCCTGCAGGTCACCTTCCTGTGACTGTGTGTTGGGATACATCCCGTCCCTCATCCCGTCCCTTATCCTGTCCCTTATCCCTTCCCCATCCCCTTCCCCATCCCCATCCCCATCCCCATCCCCATCCCCTTCCCCTTCCCTTTCCCGTTCCCCCTCCCCCCCCCCCC